TAGGATATTTCAAATTATATAGATGGGGCAATAATTGGAAAAGAAAATCTTTCGACTTATATTCATAAGGCTTCAAGGAAGACGGCCCAATTGTGTTTTTATTTTATTTTTGATAACTCTGATTATTGAATGATGTATCCTTGGTCATCATGCTATTATTATTATTATTATTATTATTATTATTATTATTATTATTATTATTATTATTATTTTAGTTTTTTCTTTGAATTATTTTCTTGTTTTTACTAATTATTTTTTTTGGTTATATTGTCATGTTTTGAAAACAATATTATACAATTTAGTCACCTTGGGATTTGATTTTGAGCTTTTGTCCTTGTTTCTAGCAAAGTCACCGCCACCAGTGCTCTCTTCTATGTTTACCGTAATCTACTTTGTAACCACAAACTACTAGATTTTGTCATCTTGAAGCAATTAATTGCCAGAATTCTACACATCATGCGCTAGATTGCTTTAGGAGAGCCCCAGGCTTCAAGATGTACTGCATCATCCTGTCCCTCTGATCACTTGTGTACCATGAAATTCTGGAGCAAAGACTAGCTTATACTTCTTTACTCTTTTTGTTTATGAAAATTTCTTCACTTCAGCGTACTATTGTTTCGTTAATTTTTTGAAACCTAAATTGGGATTATATTTTGTTTTAGACTCGAATATTATTTTCCTTGATCTTAGGCCATCCTATTTACTTGAATTTTGAGTTACCCCTGGAGTACATAAAACTATGCCTATATCGTTATTATTTTTTATCAAGCTTGTGGTTGGTTTTTCTTTTTTTTTTTTGTTTTGTTCCAGATTTATAGCATATTCCAGAGGTTTCCTTGCGCATGCATTTATTATCAATGCCACTACAGCTATTATGATAGGATGAATGGTTGTTATTGTCTGGGAGATGGGCCTTTGTGATCGCTAACCATAATCGATATTGAATAATTTTTGTTTTATATAACGTTGGAGTGAGATTATCCATCATTTCATATTTCTGTCATGTTACTTATAAGCATAGTCATTCTTCCACATGTTCTGCTTCATTATTTATAATTCGTGCTTTTATCATTTTGATTTTGTTCAATGATATTTTTTTTTGGTATTTGTTTTTTTTTTTTAAATTTTGATGTATCTTATGGCATACCCTGACGTGGGTGTGAGAGGGGCATGGGAGTCCCTACCCTCATTCCAACGCCTGGACCGATCAGTCCAGGTAAGGGGAGAGCTGATCGGCTCCTCCCCTTAGATTTGGTGCCTCTTTTTAGCAGTTGGCCCAATCATAATTATCCAAAACATAAATATTTGTTTTTTTGTGTTTTAGATTTTCAGTTTTGGTTGAATATTCTGTTGAGAAAGCATTGGCGTCTCCAGCTTTTTTCTTCTAAGGCTTTGTCCAAGGGTGAGTGGTGCTTCAATTATATATTGTTAGGGGGTCTTGACTATTCTTGAATTCCTCTTGCTCCGCAACCCTCCCTTCGTTGTCACCATTGCCTCCCATGCTGTAGACTGCTGGAAAACAATACTGTAGCTGTTTTCTCTGCGGGCCGCTCGCCCTGCCTTCATTTCCAGCCTCCCTGTTCTGTTGCACCCTACCTGCTACCTGCTGTCATCTGACAACAGTCCACCTACGCCAGCCATGCAACCTTTCAGCTGCTACTTCCCCTAGCTTGCTGCATTCTAATCAACTTACACCATCCCTCTCCTTTTCAGATTGCCGCTGCCATCTAACACCCCTGCCACAACCAGCCCGCCTTTTACCAGACCTGCAACCCCACTACAGCCCATGTTCCAGCCTGTGCCGCCGCTTTCCATCATTCTGCCAGCCGACCACAACCACCTAACACCCGTCCATCCCACATCCACCTCGTGGAATACAACCCTAGTTTAGTTGAATGTTGTTGTGTCAGTTTTTATTTTTCTTTTCCGTGTGTTGGTTGTAACATTTCGCTACTTTTTTTAGTAAAAATAATTACTGTTTATCGTTGTTTGGGTTAACTATGGTATCATTTGGTATCATAGATAGCCTAACTCTAATCCTATGTTAGGATTACCAAAATCAGGCCGCAAAAATTTTGTTTCCCCACTCCAAACCATCTTGATTCCCCATCTCACCTTCCCGCACCTAAACCCTAATCATGCCATCGATGAGACACATGCCAAACACTGATGAGAAGTTGATAATGGAAGAGATTTAGCGGCAGTTCCGCTGAGTGTTACAAAGGCTCATTAAAATTAAGGAAATGACCTATGGAGAGGTCATCTTCAAGCATGGTAGAAGATCCAATGAGGGGAGAGAGAGAGGAACACCTGAATCACTTTCGTAGTGATGATTCCAATGGAGAAGAAGACATGCCACATCACTTTGGGATTTAATATAGAGGAGGCCATGGGATGAAATGCTAGTTAGAGGATAAGAAGACTCTAGAGTGAAAGTGGACATACCAAATTTTGAGGGAAGAATGAATCTGAATGACTTCATAGAGTCGCTGTCGACCGTCAAGAGGGTTTGTGATTATAAGGATGTGCCAAATGACCATAAAGTAAAGCTTGTTGCTATCAAGTTGAAAAAAAATGCCTCGTTATTGTAGGAGATCATGGAGAGGGAGAGGAATAGAGAATGATAGAGCATGATACTTGTGAGAAGATGAAGAGGGAGCTATAGCTAAAATACTTGTCTCCCCACTAACTTAATGATCTTTTCTTGAAGTTCCACTACTTGTAACTGGGGGACGTATCGGTGTAAGGAGTACCCAACGAAGTTTATGCAACACGAGCTGAAATGTGATCTTAGAGAGTCAGAGAAACACACAATTGCCTGGTACTTGGAGACCTGTAGCCCGCCATCGACAACATGGTTTGACTACATTCTTACTGGTCTTTGGGTGAATTTCAGACCTTAGCATTGATGGTGGAGAGACAACATAATTTGAACAAGCAACCACCACCATTTAGACAACAACCCATAGCTGGAGACATCATTAGGAGCACACTTATGAGAGTTGAGAAAAGTGGTCAGGAGAATGATAAAGCCTTCCAGAGTGGGAAGAAACTTGAGAGGAATAACACCCTCAATACAGTCCTAGCCAAGAAATGTTTCAGATGCCATGGTTATGGGCACATACCTTCCAGTTACCCAACGATCTGAATTGTGTCCTTCATCGGACCAAGTCAAGATGCTTCTGGTTTGACGGGTCCTTCAGACTGAAGCTTTGGGGGAGTAGCAGTGTCGTCGACACAACATATCTACACCCGTTGTACAGTGAAGGGAAAGATATGCAACCTCATCATCGATGGAGATAGCATTAAGAATACTCATATGACAGACAAGTTGTGACAAAAAACTCAGAGACATTCCCAATCGCACTCTCTGATGTGGTTGAAGAAAAAGAACAAAATTAGCTTTGACAGGAGGTATCTTGTAAAGTTTTCAATTGTGAATCAACTGTAGGATTAGTTGTGGTTCGACATGGTGCCCATGGATGCTTGTCATATCTTGTTGGTGAAACCGTAGCATTTGGATGGTGAACTTAGTAAGATAGATTCAAGAACACTTACTCTTTTACAAAGAAAGAGAAACACATAATCTTACCTTCTATGGAGTCTAAGGTTACTGGTGCTCTTTGCAGCGGAGAAGCGCCAACGAGATTAGTTTTCGTGATGATAGAAGATAGCGGGATAGAGGTGACGATTATAGACACCGGGCAACCACTACGAGACTAGGACATTCTGATCGAGATTTTACTGCCATGGTCATCACCGTTAGAGGGGGTTCAGTTTATTCTCTAAGCAAAAAGGTATGAGCAACCTGGGGCTACATTGTGAAAACTCTACAGGGCACACTTGGCGCGAAATTCCAGTTCAGTTAAGCAATGTATCCTCATATGGTTGGACTGATATGGATAGCTGCTCACAAGTGGGAAAAATTGATGAAATGTTTTTGGGATAATGTTCAACAGGCAACGGGATTCGGGTTCTCATATTGATGCAATCGAAGCCCCTCCAACCTCGGGGGCTACAACATCTCTTCTAACTTCAATGTGTCCGATCTGATTCCATATTATGAGGAAATAGAAGCTTCAATGAATGAAGTTGAAGCTGCCCAATCCTGGTGACACGGGCTCAAGAGGGGTATGGGAGTCCCCACCCGCATTCTAGCGGCTGGACCGACTGATCCAAACAAGGGGAAAACCGACCTGCTTCACCTCTTTGGTTCGACGCCTCCTTTCTACTGTGTGACATATCCTAATTATCTAAGGCATATTTATCTATTTCTTGTGTTTTGATTTTTCAGTTTTGGTTGTGTTTTCTGTCAAAACTGTTGTTGGCATCTTCAAGTTTTTCCTTAAATAGGGTTGTATCCAAGGGAGAGTGATGCTTCGTCTGTGTCTCGTTTCTAGATGGTGACTATCCTCAATTTTCTCTTCCTTCGCAACCTTCCCTTTATTGTCTTCATTGTCGTTCTTGTTGCAAGCCATCAAAAAACAATATTGTTGTTGTTTTCTGTGCATGCTACCCACCATGCCTTCACCTCTAGCCATCCAGTCCTGCCACTCCTTACTTGTTGCCTGCTGTAGTTTCACGGTAGTCCACCTATGTGAGCCATGCAACCTCCCAGTCGCCACTCCCTCAACTTCTATCATTCTTATCATTTGCCAGATTGTCGCTGCCATCTTGCACATTTGTCGTAACCAGCCCACCTTCTACCATACCCGCATCCCCACTATAGCCCACCTTCCGACCTCTCTGCCTTCGCTTTCCACCATTTCGCCAACAAACCTCAACTACCTAACGCCTGCCCATCCCAAATAACCAACCTCCATCCCATAGACTAGAACCCTGGTTGAGTTGAATGTTGTCTATTGTTATTTCCCCTTTTCGTGTATTGGTTGTAACTGTTCATCGATTTATTTTTTTCAGTAATCATATTTGCTTGATTATCGTTGATTGGGTTAATTTTGGTGTTATACCCCTAACTCTGCTTCATCTTTTTCACTTAGATTGTAATTGCAGATGAGTCACATTTTTTGAAGAATGGTCAAGCCAAGAGAACAAGCGCTTCACTTCCAATTCTCCAGGTATTGGCAGTTTATCTATCAATTAATCTTTGATTTCTAAATTTGTTAGTTAATAATTATATATTTACTTAATAATTTTTTTTATTAAATTAATTATTAAAAACAAATTTAACATTTATGATAGAATAATTGATTAGTTATTAATTATATTTATTAATAATTACTTATAAATTTATTGAATAATAAAATAAATTATATTTTTTATTAATTAAAAACTAAATAATAAATAAATTTATTTAAGTGTAATTAGTCGGGTAATATTTTAGTTAATCAATTAATTATTAATAAAATAAAATTAAAAAAAAATAATTAAACTAAATAAAATTAATGGAATCCTTCACATACATTAATCCTCTCTACCCATGCCCTTGCTCCCCACACACACCCCACTTCCACCGTTTCCTCCTACTCCTCTCCTACCTAAAACCATTGAGGAAGGTAGCTTCACGTCATTTTTTTTTGCGGGAGGCGTCCCTTCTAGATTTACTAATCCACCGATTCATGAGATTTAAGGTCGAAATCCGTGAAATCCAGATTTATTGAATCTGAGGCTTTATTTTGTCCAAAATTACCGTCTAGCATCCTGCTCTAAATCAATAGTTTTCATTTTGAATTCTAGTTCTACCCTCACCCAAGGCGCATGTTCCTCCAAGTGAACTGTAATGAATGGAACCTCTTTAAATTTCATCCGCAAACGAGCCTTAGCATCCAAAGCCCTTAACTTGATCCGCAAATATTCATCACAATCAATTTTTGACATTGTAAATTCCCATAAGCTCACAAAATTTCTTCTGAGTATTTCCTCGGCCGGTTTCTTCTAATTCTGTGGACTCTTTGCAACCCATCCGATTTTCAGAGAGGTCGCCAGATTCACTCCGAGGTTGTTTCATACGAGCTCATAGCCCACAATCTCCTCGGAAGCAACATTCTAAGTATGTTTGTGATGTGCGAAAGCATTTCTGATGCAAAATCCTTGTTTTTTCTCCGTGGGAAAAGATTCAACTTTGATTTCAAATTGGATGATTTGTGGATTCTCCATGATTGGTCTGTTTGAGCTCAACTTATTGTTCTATTTCAAGATGCTTTGCGTTGGAATCTTCCTTGATAAGTACACATTTTGTTATGTGATCAAATCCTGCTACGCAACATCTGCTTTAGGTAATTACATCCACAAGATGAGCTGCTTCATGGGAATGGAGAAAGATGTCTTTTTGGGAAGTGCTTTGATAAAGATGTATGCTGAAAACGGTTCCATTGCCGACGCAAAGAAGGTGTTTGATGAAATGCCTAAAAGAGATTGTTTGTTGTGGAATGTGATGATGGATGGTTATGTGAGAGTTGGGGATGCTGAAAATGTTGTCGAGATCTTCAAATGGATGTTGAGCCCAGGAACTAAGCCAAATTATGTAGCGTTTTCTTCTATTCCATCTCTTTGTGCTTCACAAGCAGTAGCTAGTTATGGTGCTCTGATTCATGGCCTCGTAGTCAAACTTAGCCTCGATTCAGAGATCTCCGTCGCAAACATTGCTGGCAATGTATACCTAATGTAGAAGTTTGAGCGATGTGAGTCTGCTGTTCGATTTGATGTCGAAATTCAATGTTGTTACCTAGAACGGAATGATATCTAGTTTGGTTCAAAATGGATTAAGCCGCCTGTACAAAATCGCATTCAGGTACTACATCATAATGGCTCTTTTAGATCATGATCTAGTGTAACCTAATTTCGATACCACTTTTTTCATAACCCAGTCAAATAACTTTGAAGTTAGGAAATTTGATCGGACGATAAAAGTATTTAAATAACTATCCACATTTTTATAAAATCTTTCAATATATAAAAGAGCTACTGAAACCCTAAAATTGCAATAACATCAAAACATTCAGAAACATCAACATTATATGTAGACAACATGTCTCAAATCAGAGCCAAACAATATATTACGATTTGAAAGAAAATAATATGAAGAAACTATCATCATAAATACCTAACAACGGTGATTCTTCTCCTTAAATCATGTATTTTCTACCACGCATATCAACTTATAACTTTTTTTTTTTCTAAAAGAGACAATTGATATGAATGAGGGTATAAATTTTTTTTTTGCATAAATCCTAGAATAGGAAATATAATAAAAATGAAATAATATGAAAGGAAAGATATACCATCTAATATCTCCAATAATCAATTCATATTATTTATTTAGAGATAAATAAAATAATATAAAATAAGAAAGAAAATGACATTTAATCTGAGAAAATAAATATAAAATAAGAAATGAAATAACTCTTAATCTCAGGAAATAATTTATTCCCCATAATTTCTCACAAGAATAAATTATTTCTTAATATAACTTCTAACACTCCCTCTCAAGTCAAAACATGGTTGAAAACCATGTTCAACTTGGATTTGAAAACATCAAACAATTAGTGAGGGAGATCCTATAAAGTAGAATTTGAAGTCTTCATCCTGTACTATTATTGGCCTTGACTGTAGTTTCTGCAGTTTCTGTAGGTAGGCGGAAGACTCCTACAAATAATGTTGCAGTAGACAACTGCGGTTATCTTTGACTATAGTTCCTGCAGCGTCTGTAAGTAGACAGAAGGCTTATACAGGTATTGTTGCAGGGGAGTTTGGTGGAAAATAAACAACCTATAGGAAAAGACCGACTTTTAGATGACTAGTTTGTCTTTGACTGTAGTTTCTGCAATGTCTGTGGGTAGACATAATGCTTTTACAGGTCATGTTGCAAGGAAATTTGCAGGGAAGTAGACAATCTTCAGAAAAAGACAACAGGAAAATATTCTGGAGGGCCTGTGGATCTTCCTCGAGAAGCCTAGCGTCAGCTGGGATGCAAAGCAGTGGTAAGTGAAGACTGCAGGGAAGCTGGACTTTTGGAAATCTGCACAACTATAGGAAATTAGGAATTTGGACAACTGCAGGAAATCAGGGAAGCTGGACTATTGGAAACTAGGAAGTCGGGCTGCTACAAGGAACATGTCCCAATAAACAACGGGAATGACCTCCATGAAAAATAAGTGCACATCCAACAGTAAGGACCCGCAAAAAATAAGGAAAGACGGACTGCTACATAGAAAAACTCCGGAGGAGGACCTGCTATAGAAAAAAACAAAGGATGAGTGAAAATATTTGCGTACATAATACACACGCAACTCTGCGTGCGTACTCCATTAACCCCGCAATAGCCCCATAATAACCTATGAATAATATTGAAATAGAACCCGCGAAGGTTATTAGGGTTATAAGTTATTGGAACTAATACCCCAATAACCTCCTAATAACCGCGAAACAGAGGTTATTGTGGGGTTATTAGGCACGCAACTCTGCGTGCCTATTACGTACGCAAATATTTCCCCAGGATGAGAAGAATGGGAAAGTCATGGGGCTGGGAGGGACAACAAAGATGCCATCAACACATTACTCATCAGAGAAGGGTCTCCAATGAGACGGAGAGTCGGCTGACAGAGATTCAACATAAATCTTGTTAGGAGAGGCCACTCGTGAGAGTGCGGAAGAGTCAAAACTCCTTGCTTGGGAAGGGCCAACTAACATGCCAAGCCCATCGGAGAGAGAAGAAAAAAATGTTGTTTCCAATACCAAGAGAAGTACCCGCTTCCCGCACGGGGAGGATGACAGGAAGGGAGTCTGACGGATCTAGGAGGACCGGTGGCTAGGGTACGAAATTAGGCTCTGATATCATATTGAAATTCAAAATAATGCAGAATTAAACGAGAATTTTTTCATTGATATGAAGGAGGATATACATAAAATATGAAAGCCTAAATTAGGAATGAAAATATTTTCTAGTCTAAGAAAATAAATATAAAATAAGAAATGAAATAACTCCTAATCTCAAAAAATAATTTATTCCTCATAATTTTTCACAGGAATAAATTGTTTCTTAATATAACTTATAACAATGACAAGAAAAATACAAAAGGAAGGAAATAATGAGATGAATATTCTCTAAGGTGTGGATATAAAATTAATTGAAAATGTTTCTTCCCTATTCTATTTCTTTACAAAGACAACTTCAAATCTTGTTTTTTCTAGAACAACAGCTTATATGTAGAATCATAAATTGAAAGTGGAATGCCTTTTTCTGTAGCATGCTTAATTCATTTAATTTAATATTTGAATGATTAAAATGTGATTACTATTTTGATTATAAAGCTCAATCACTTGTATATATTGTGATTATAGAAAGCTCAATATGCAATTTTACTAAGTGGAACTCCTGCTTTATCACGTCCTATCGAGTTATTTAAGCAGGTATGGTTGTTCTTTGGCTAGCGCATGCAAATTCCTTTCTTTCAATTAAGTGCAAGGTTGTATATGAAAATTTTCTTTATTCGTTTGAAATGCAGCTTGAAGCCTTACACCCTGAGGTGTATAGAAGTGTGCATGAGTATGGTAATCGATATTGCAAAGGTGTAAGTGTTCAGTTTTAATTATGCTAAACTAACCTTATAGAAATATTTCGAATAGAAGGCTCTTATGGCGTATATTTATTTTTTAGGGTGTTTTTGGATTGTACCAAGGTGCGAGCAACCATGATGAGCTGCATAGTTTGATGAAAGGCACTGTGATGATTCGTAGGCTGAAGAATGATGTTCTTTTAGAACTCCCTGTGAAGCGCCGACAACAGGTTATAGTTCTTTTCCCAGTATTAGCTTACCCCTTCAAGGCTAAACAATATGTTAAGGAGAAGTCAGCATCTTATCTAAGGTCATAATAAGAAACACCTACTACACGCCTAAACTTATACCGAACCAAGTAGGAAAAACAATGGGAACACAACATCAGTTTTTTATTAATATGTAAATAAATTTACAACACAATGCAGTCAGACACAACAACACAAAACATAACGACACAGGCAAACACCTCTAAGATGTATTCAAATGGGTGGTGGAGGCCCACTAGAGGGACAGGGATGATTGGAAGATGATGGCAGGCAAGGTATGTTGGTAGCGATGAGGGGGAGGTGCAAAACTCTAGGGACATCAAGTAGGATGGGTTGTAGGTGGTCAACGACAACCAATGTGGTGACTAGGAGGAGTTGGGAAGGTGGTAGGAAGGCAGAACAATGAGGTACAAGTGCAAGAAATGGTCGTTCGGGTGTTGGGGTGATGGAAGGGGAGGTCGGTGACTGAGGAGATGGGAGGAGATGATTTGGGGAAGGTAAAGGGAAAGTATGCAACACCACCTTGGAGTAAGACACAATTGGAGCACCACCATCTCCTCGGATACATCCCTGGAACAGGGAGAGGACTCCACAGAGGAATCTGAATATAAACACTGCCAAAACTGCCCCTTACAAACAGAAAACAACATTTTATATACTTTCATTAGCGAAAAAATAGGAATAAAATAAAAAAAGAAAACTCCCATATCAAATGAAGGAGTGGGGAGGCAAGAACAATACAGGGAACAACTATTAAAATACTTCCCATATGAAGAACACCAAAGGAAGGTCGGTAGGCTGTTGTATCGCGATCCCATTTTCACAATCTCTCCCCTCGTCTTCATGATGGTTCGCGGGATTGCTTGCCCCGCGGTTCAACGTCCTGCTATAGGAGCGCTGTTAGCGACCCGAGTCATAAACCTGATGTACTTTTATCCCTTTTTGATGCATTTATTTGTCACTTTGTGATATCGGGTGTTTTTGTGAAAGCTATATGTTGTGAATGCAACATTTTTTGTCTGCTTTTGCATAACCCTTTTTAGTTGTCAACTTCTCAAAAATAATTCTAATAATAATTTATTCTCTTATAGCTTACGACATTAGAAAAAGGTAAATCCTAATACTGTTGCAGGATTGATAAATATTATTATGACGTGCTTAGTTTTTTTTGGTTATTTTAGCATTGATGTGCACGGTGGAATGATATTGGAGTTAACCCAAATCACCATGAAAGGAAATAAATATTATTACTCGAAACAAAAGGCAATTACAAATCTACAACTAAAAGGAAATATAGGGATAAACACACAACACAGTCACCCAACTAGAGCTGGATTTAAAGGTCGTGGAGAGGTTGCAGTATGGAGAGGGGGGAGGGGGGTGCTGTTGTTGGGGGAAAGTAAGTTAGTTGGGGTGGTTGGCTACCAAAGGCACCGGTTTGCAAGGCTTGGTGACAAAGACTGTAGGTATGGAGGGTTGAAGGCAAAGGGGATAGCAGATTGGAAGGATGACGGAAAGGAGGCAAAAGATGAGAGCGCTAGCGGCAAGGAGACAACAGGTGGGGAGGCTGAGATGAAGGCTAGAGACGCTGGGAATGTAGATAAACACCATCTCAGAATGAGTTGAAGCTAAAGCACTTTCTTGTTTTCGAATACAACTCTAGAGGGGAAAACCTAGACGACAGTGGTTTTCCCGATAGAAATTTGAAATCAAAACTAAACATAGAATGCACAAAACACCTAAAAATACTATCAGGCAACAAATTAGGGATCCAATTATGTTGGGCGGCAAATCCTGACCCCTAAGAGGCCAGTTGAATCTCCCTCCCGACATGTGGACTTCACAACCCTGTCATGGAATTTCTTATCTAGTATGGATTGGGAACATCAATACAAAGGGGCAGAATTATTTAAAAGGTTAATATGTATATATATTAGCATAGAAGTATTTATTGAAAAATTATTACTTATTTGGCATTTGATATCTTCATTCTATTAGATTTCTAATAAAAAAATGAAAATATATGTTGAGTTTAGCTTTTGAACGTTAGTCTTCACATTAGATTTAGAAAATCTAATTAAGTTTCTAGATCTAGGATATATCACGCTTATATACTTAAGATTGTTCCTAAGCTCTTTTTATTATTGTCTATGGATTTAGTACTCGAAATAACATGAAAACTCAAAAATGAAGTCATACCGGAGTTAAACCCAAAAACCACAACAAAATGTTAATTTTATTAATAAATTCAACGGGGTTACAAACAACACACTTAAAGGTTGGAAAACGATGACACAAACATAAAAGACTCTCTAGGGCGATGATTGATGATGGTAGGTTGTGTGTTGAGGTAGTGGAAATTGAGAACTGTAGGTGATCAGGAGGGTTTGCAATAGGAAGGGGAAGATGGGTCACCGGATAGAAGGTTGTTGGACTGTGCGACAGAAAGTCGGAAAAGTGATGTGGCGACTGGACAGTAAGCAGGGGGTTGCGACAAGGTGCGACAACCGACAACAGAGCGGTGGGAGGTTGTGACAACAAGCAGTGTGTTGGGAGCCAGGTGGAGGCGGAGGAGGGTTCAGTAGCAAGCTGGAATTAATTTGGGATAGCCGACAACAAGAAGGGGATTGCGAGAGGGTGCGACAACAAGAAACGACACCTGGAAGGTAGAAGCAGGAATAAAGTGGCTGAGAGCGACGTGGGAGGATGTGGAAGGTGATAAGGAAAGATAATCGCTACCTTGAGAGAGAGATGCGATCGGAGTATCACCTAGGCCCCGTTTGGGGCAGCTTATTGGGAGCGGCGGTGTTTTGAAAACGCCGCCTCTTTGTTTGTTAGTTGCGTTCGCACCGGCATTAGCCTCTCGCACTGCGTCTGCGTTGGTTAATTCCTTTATGTCATTTGACGTTGTCCGAGCCTCGCGTCCTGTGTTAGCCATCCGTGTTGCCTTAGGAATTCCGGAGGTGCCCTCGATCTCCCTTGCCTCCCTCGCTGGTTTCTTTTCTGGTTCGTCGTTCTAGAGGAGATCGAACCTTCTTCCTTTCCAAATTTTCTTTCCTGATCATCAAGTATCCTTTCGATTACCCTAGCTGCGAGCCTTGGAATGCTTTCTTTACTCTGATCTTCTTTCTGAGCAGTGTTGATGCAGGAAATGGGAATATGATGACATTAAGGGTTTTTAGGTATTGCCTAGTTTAGATCTATGGCATGGGTTGTTTTGGGGATCTTGCGGAATCTGGCATTTTCTCTGATTTTTGGGTTTTATGTCCGTTGAGATATGTTTCATTTTCTATGCCCTGATATTTTGGCATTTTAACGAGTTATTGGATTTGGGTTGCTAGCTGCGATCCTGAAAACCTTTCTTTTCGCTGATCCTTCTTTTGAGATGTGTAGATACAATAACCATTTTTTTTTTTTTTTTATTTTTTTTTATTTTGTGTCTGAAATATGAGTCCATGAAAGTTTTTACACTATAGGCCAATTGAGATATGTGGTATTCGTTGTTTGATGGGAGGTAGTGGCTCTGGTTTTGGGCATGATATTGTGGCATTTTTTCTGGTTTTGACTCTGTTCGTTTGATGGGAGGCATCGGCTCCGTTTCTGAGCAAATTGATGAAGTTATATAATTGTTTAGCTACTGTTTGTGTGGTGGAAAATTTGCAGGAATTCCTGTTATGCAGTAATTGGAAATAACAAATTGTTGATTTGGTTATACAATGAAGATTATGGCTTGGTTCATGAAAATGCATTACGAAATTTTTATTCTTCTATGAAAGCATACTAGCGTGTAATTCTAATGTTCCAAACATATATCTAACTCGTCATTGAGAGGATTCCATACTTTTATCTTGTGTTTTATGTTAAGAATGACAATGGTTATAGGGTTTGTGGTTCATATGCATATGCTTATACAAGAAAATGCAATGTTTGTTTTTATATGAGGCAATGGTTATATCATTGGGGAGTTACTTGTTTTTTGTTTAGGGTTCATATGCATATGCGAGGTTTTGTTTTTCATATTATTATATGCAAGAATTGTATTTTCATATTAAGTTCCATTCACCTTCACTCAAAATCGTGTTTTCAGCAATTGAATTTTTTTGGGATCAATTATAACTTTGATGCCTATATCGAGAGGTATTAAATTGATGCTAAAGGCTTTCACCAATGGTTGGGAGCTGTATTGGTTCTTAGCAAACCTGCGAACTGAGAATAGATTTTTAGTTTTGTTCAAATGCCTGCTTTATGGGTTCTCATGCCTGCTATATGGGTTCAAATGCCTGTTTTATGTGTTCTTATGCCTGCTTTAAGGATTTTCCGTATTGTTCAAATGTGAAGTGAGAATGGATTTATGAGTTCTTATGTCTGCTTTTGGGATATTGTTCAAATGCGGGATCAGAAGAGAGTGATCTGTCATTCGGTTTTTAGCAAATATGAAAAGAGAGTAAGAATGGAAACATGTTCAATTTTTATTTGTTAGTTGAGAAATTTTTATTATCACCAAAGGGAGAAATGGGAGGGAGAATTGCAAGTTGTATTGTTCTCCCTTTATAGTTATGTAACAGCATACAATTGCATAATAAAATATTTTCGATATCTTACTATGGATTTAGGTCATTAACCGAATCACATAATTGATTTGTCTTTATATATATAAATATATATATTCTGAGCAAATAGCTAGACTGTTGTTTGTATTGGTGGAAAATCCTTCGAAAGTTGAGTCAATTTGATTATTTGGAGACTATTGTTGTTGTTGGCTTGTGTTGTTGTTGGCCTGAGATTCATAATGATGAGCACTGTGAATGTGCTGGTGCAATTATTTCTTCAACAATTCTATTGATATTCAAATTTAAAAAGTTTTTATTCTCACTTGTTGTTTATAGTTACATCATGTCTAAAGCGGTTGAAGGGGGCCCGTCCGCAATGTAGGATAAAGAAGTAACACATATTTTTTTGCG